AAGGTTGTGTAGCAAGTAATTTAGCACAAGTTCGTCGTGGTGATCTCTATGCTGCCGAGAGTCAGTATACTGAATCAGGGGGAGAAGTTCGCGTCATCTCTACTAGTCAACTGGAGGCCATTCATTCCAAGCTCCGTAAGCTTCTTGATCGAGTTCTGTCAGTTGAAGTTGGGCTGCGCATACTTGACAATTCATTTTACAGGTTTAAGATTTAACGAGTATATGCTGAGCAATTTAATACGTCCACTAACTGCACAATGTAGCATAATTTAAATGTAGGTGCCAAGTACCACAGAAATCCCAAGTTTGAGGGCACCAACTTTCGAAGTGTTTGTCAAGCTACCATCATGTGCAAAGATCTCATTCCAGAGTCACCTCAAGTAGAATATATGAGAAAACTTATGGCTACGGAACTCAGCGATGCTACCCCAAGTGAAATATACCGCGGTAATGCGGCACCACCAGCGGAACATCGACCATGGGAGCGTCTTTTCAACTTCAAACGAACGGTGTGGAGGCGGACCTTCTTGCCAAAAATGCACCTACAGAAGATATTCGCTCGCCGCTGTCTATCACTTACAGCAAACGGAAGTATCTTTCTCGTGCAGGTTTTGTTGGGTTATTGGGGCTAGAGCCGGGGTATGACGCTGTAAGAGAATTTTCTGTACAAGAGTTCTCACTTCTTAAGCAGCTTCGTGCTGAGCAGGTAGCTTCAAACCAGCCGTGGTCGAACAGTAATGTTGTGTCCATGATACTGTATAATTGTGCTGTGGAACGTCTGGACAATAGTGCACTCAATATCCGTAAGCGAGGATTTAGAGCTGTTTCTAGACGTAAACCTGCTATTGATGACCAATTGAAGAAGAAACCTATTGTCACTGAGCAGCGAATCATACTAACAACAGAAAAAACAATATGTGACGACGTGGTGACCCCTGATGAAGACGCATTGATGCAAAATCTCTTTGCAATGCTGCGCACTTTGACGTTAAAGCACAAAACGCAACTTTATACGCTCGTATATACCTTCGCTGCAGCCAATGTGATGGTATCAAGCCAAAATCGATAAACCTGCTGCATCGTCGGTGGGAAGGTTTGAAGCGAGCTCAAAATCGAGATAAGAAGAAAAAGGTGGATGTCATTGTCGACGATCGCGATATCGCAGTGGGTATTTCTCAAACTCATCCCGCCAACAGTGCAGCTACTTTGTCAAATAGAATTAGCCGTCTCCTCCAGCCTGACGAGGAATCCAAATCCCCGGCAAGTTCTCGGCAGCTCAATACAACTGAACATGACCTCAATGTAGGTACCGAAAACATGGTACACGCTGAGCCCATATCTGCGTGTCTTGCTTCAACCGAAGCGAGTCCGATTGCAAATAAGCAGTCAGCAAATTTAATGAGTGAGACTCTGTCTACAATAGTGGATATGATGCCTGTGCTGGACGATACACTCGCTAATCATTTAATGGATATCGCGTCTAAATTTCCGAAGCATACACGTGGAAAATAGCCCCTGCTACTCGCCGAATTTCGGCGATTAAAACCCCAGTCTGTGATATCGAAAAATGCACTGCGCAAGCATCTAGCGAAATACCAAAAGCGAAAGCATCCTGGCCCAGAAGCTGTAACCACACCAGCAGTTGAATTGCCAGTTCTTAACCAAACGGAAACCACAGCGTCTGTAGAAGCAAACCCCAATAAACGGCCACCGCCATCATGCAGCAGTTGTCGAGAACGCAAAAGAAAATGCGGGCCGTCCAGCACTAACCCACAGTGCGAACGTCGCAAAAGTGCTCAACACACACCGATATCTTCATTTTTTAGTCAAACTTGATTTATCCGTACGTAATTTAGTCTACATTTTATGCAATACGCACTACACAACAAACCACAATATAATTTGTTACCACAAATATTTGATAGCAGCCAAACTTAAGATAAGTACCGTAGAGCTCACACATCGCGCTGTCGAGCTTCTTGACCATCACTACCAGTAACTACAAGTAAAATCAGCGCTCCATACAGTTCCCTACACGTTGCACTCCGTCTACTAGAGCATTGAGTCCAGATTGCAATGTCATAGTCGCCTTTTCGTCTTGAGGACAATGCTTCACGGTGTCTACAAGCAGACACATGGCTTACAGCTTCGTTGCATGAGCACTACAGTCACAGACAAGCTTTTAGTAGATTAGAAAAACGCTTATGCATACCACCTAAATAATGCTTCTTCGATCTGTTAGCACGCCGACCATGTCACCTCCATCTCGAGATTTCTTACGAGCACTCGATATTACGTACGGGATCGTTGCTGTGCTACTGAGTTTGCAGTAGCGCGCTGCTTTCGTCGATTTCCCCGTCGTTCTTCTGCAAATCAAAGTCGCCACAGTAAACAAGGGTCACGTTACGCTATACCCTCTAAATTTGGATTTTGTATCAATAGAGGGGGTGTCACCATCTTCTCATATCGGGCTGGTCGGGACAACTGTCGGGACACTTAACGGTCATAAAAGGTCTTAGACGATCACAAGTGGTGGCACTGGTCTCGGGGCAAGCCCA